CAAAAAAGAACATTTGGAGTTTGATATTCAGAGACAATAGTGTGATAAACAATAAAAGTATTTCCTCATTCATGACCAGTGACGTATATTACAAACACACTGACCACAATGCACTGCTGTCATATTATAAAAATGTAACTATTAATACAGACACACAATCACTGCTGAAGTTCTGTTTTTTGTTTTTTGTTTTTTCTATATTCCTGCAGATGTTGCACTGTCATATGTCAAAAATGCTTGGTAATTAAATATTTCACATTAATATTCCAGATAATTTAGTCAAATTAAATTTAAACACGGTTCTTAAATTGCAAAGGGGGCCAATGATGATGATGATGATGATGATATGATATTAAACACACTTTGCAGTTTTATGAATTATTCACACTGGTGTGCAATGTATCCTCCATTTGTCTATATGACTGAAGTTCAGTTGTCTTGAAGAGCCCTCACCTAAGTTACCACTATTCTGTGTTACCATGGGAACTGCTCCAAAACAAATTAGTGTCCTTCAACCCATTTCTCATGAAAATCAAGTTTTAAAAACATGCCTTTTTATCATCTACCCAAGTATTACTAACAGACTAGGAATGTGAAGAATTGCCTCTCTGTTTACCAAAATTCCATTGTAAACCAAGGACAGAGAAAGACCTTCTTCTCTCTGACATTCGTAGACTAGTTTTATTAAACTGACTTGTGAATTTTATCAACAACAACACACCAATTCCTCAATGTAAAAATGATATAACACTGAAAGACTATTGTATGTGAAACATTTGAGCGACATCTTTTTTCACGTGCTAAACCACAGGCAGAGGTGTGACTATCAGTATAGCAATATTGTATACCTAATGCACTGACTCAGCGGTACGATTCGTGCAAGGTTCCATCATAGAACTGGTTAGAAAGTTGCAGTGCAACCATTTTGAAAATCTAAAAGGAACAAGCCATTTCACGACATGATTCAATGTAACATTCACCATGAATAGAACTTCAATGCTGCCCCCATTGCCACTTCAATAATAGCAAATCAAATCAAGTTTATTGTCATGTTGCTGTACATACACAGTAGTACAGGCAAGATGAGAGAGCGTTTCTTCAGGATTATGCAACCAGCAAGTTTTGTGGAAAGCACGTCTGGGATAAGACATTGAACGTATGGCTAACACATGGAAATCTGTTTTTTTTTTTTTTTTTTAAACTACCTTATATTTACATACATAACTGCCTCAAAAATCCAACCAGGCTCTACTGTCTACACATCCAGTTGACGTGGAGAAAATTTGTATTAATTACAAGTCATGATCGTCACCATCTAATTAATGTATCCCCAAAAATCATTCTTTACAGGCGTCACCACCTACATGCTTATTTTACAGGTAGCACTCGGTGAAGTTGCTCGCTCTCTGCTCCTACCTGATTTCTGAAATGAGCATTTCTATATCTTTTGATACGACCTCAACTTTTTATCAAGATGTTGCTGAAAAACACAAGCATACACACACACAAAGGACATGACTCATATACCCACCACCAGACACACTGCTGCTTTCAGCCCACTTTCAATTAGAACTGAATAGTGACTCAGTCCTGCCGGCACAGCAATGCATCCGAACAATGTCCTCTAGTGAACAACCTTGTGTGTGAACATGGACGCACACACTTATCACTAACTCCTCAGGGTGCCACATTTCACAAGATGTTTCCAATGGCAACTCACCCCAACCTACTGACCACATTTACCCTAAGGCTCTATTAAGGATGTCAAAGCCATGATGCAACAAAAACCTGTTTGACTCTTGCAACTCTGATATTCTGGAGATAATGCTGTTTTCCTCCCATGATGGGCATTAGTTGGTATTACTGAGACTACATCTGTATATACTACAAACTTACAAAAGAACAGGTTTGGATTATCCAGGCTATGTCACATCCTTCCAAATGTTGAAACAGGTAAATGCACACCTCTCTGAAATGTTCAACCAAAACTGCAAATTTCAGGACTGTTGTATTAAACTGCATTAGTTTTAGCTAAGTGTAGCTAATAAGCTGGAAACTGAATCTATGTTTCCCAACAATAATGTACATACACCTAAAATTAACTGAGAAAGGTTGAAAAAAATAAATGTTTTTAATTATCCACATTCACAAACAGTTTGAAGGAAAAGTACCTCCTCCATGTCAACTCATCGCCAAATGCCGTGTTCCTTTCCCTTGTGAAACCGTACAGTCCTGAAGAGTTTATAGCCACGACTTACTACATCATTTTAATGACAGACTCCAGTGATCACTTCTCATATGACAGGGCTCATCATTTAGCTTGTGTAATTTTGCAGTTAGACTGCTCAATTCATCCCCAGAACCAGTGAGATATTCCTCCTCCTCCTTCTCCTTGTCCTCCTCTCACCTCATTGTGGAGTGATTCAGAAGCAAGTAATCATGTGAGTGCATGACACAGACGGAGAGAGAGACATGCAGAGAAAAGGGCACAGTAATGTGGTAGACAAAGGAGAGATAAAGAAAGACAAAGAGATTTACAAATCTTTTCGATGCAATGTTGTGTCAGTGAACAATAAATCATTTTGACTTTACATCCTTGGTAGAAGTACAGACCATCTAAATCAAGATAGTGAAGTTGAATTGGCTTGACTTAGCATAGCATACATCTTACACTGTCAGGCGTAAAGTTCTCAAGCTGAGGGGTAGAGAGAGATAGTTTTATCTGCACCTTGATAAACATCCTGTAACACTACATTATGTCGCTCTTTGTGTGCACTTCAAATCCAAAAGCTTATTTACTCGCTGCAAATTTCCAGTTAACTGCAGGACAAAGCAAGGACAGTAGGACCACGACACTGATTGATAGTTATTTTTGCCAGTCTGCCAAAAACAAAACAATTAGTTATTTTTGTGTTGCCCTTTGGAGCGATAAATTGGTAGCTTTTTAAAAGGGCACATGACCCTGGCAAGTCCTGCTCAGTTCTCCGATATGGTAGCGATAACACCACTGAGCTTCTTCAACTCGACATTACATTTTTGCAGCTGTGGGACTTAAGCAACAGATTAATATTTTTACAGCCACTACAGCCAGAACCATCATTTTTACGGTTCAATAGACCTGTCTCAGTAAAAACACGGAACCGTCAAAAAAAGCTTTGGTTCACCAATTTTAAGGGTCTAATGAACAAGTCAGTCATGTAAAATTTAGTCTATTTTAAGGCTATTAGCCCACATGCAAAACAATCTTCCTCTTAAACTGTATATCACACAGGGTACACTGGTACTTAAAAGGAAATTATTTCAAAGAAACAGGAAAAACCCAGACAGTTTCCACTGATGTGAACAACTTATCTGATAACATGTTCACATAGTTTCACTATTGATCACAGCTTAAAACTTCTTTGTGAGAAGAAAAAAAAAAACAAAAAACGCACAAACTGGTAAGCCCTGCCCTGGTGTACAAAAAACAGGAATAAGCTGATGAAGAAATTTTAAGTTACTAGCTCTGTGGTTTTGGGTGACCTGATGTAACTCTACTACAGTTGTCTAAAATGTACTTGAAGAAAAATGTGATTTGAAACAATGCAATTAGCCAATCCAAACGGCTTAGGTTATACGCTATGCAGCGCATCTGACAAAGGGTTTGAAATGGCTTTAGGAATTCATGCCATTGTTGTTGTGACAGTCACGCATAGGATGGAACTGTATCTCATGTGGTAATGCTCCATCACTTGTTTCGAATCTATTACAAAATTTTGAACTGAGGGTTGACTTTAAAAAATCTATATATTGAAAAATAAATCACATATGAGTCAGATAATTTCCAACAATAATTCAGCGCTAGCCCACATGACCACAAGTCCGAATGCAGGCTGAAAGTTGCAGAAAAAATCCAACCAGACACAATAAATGAAAATGGGGAATATAAGCAGGGTTACAATTCCTAAAAGCATTTTAAATAAATGGCCGCACACATTACAGAATACGCTTACATACAATGCAGATTTCTTTTCTCTTGTCTTAATTTGCACTACATTTTAGCTGAGAGGCAATCCAAAAGTAATATAAAGTGCATAAGCTACATGAGTTTAATGTTTTGATAATTGGTTTAAGTTACTAACTACATTTTTAACAGGTAATTAATAATTATATTGGAACATACTCTTAAAAGTAACTCTCCCAGCCCTGTCCACCTGCTAACTAGGACTGCAAGTACAGATTATTAACAGTTGATTAATCTTTTTTCTTTTTTTGTACAATTCATTGATTAGTTGTTCAGGCAATTTAAAGTCAGAAAAATGTAGATCAGTCTTTTGTTGACAACCCAAAGAGATTTGGTTTACCCTCACAGAGAAGTAAAGTAACCAGAAAATACTCACATTGTAGAAGTAGAACTACTTTGTTTTTTCGTTCAAAGTTACTCAAACCTAATAATCATTTATCAGAATTGAGCTGGTGGTTGACAGCTATCATGAAACTCTGAATGAGAAGCTCTCTTTAAGACGGCAACAGACAAGTCACCTCATCTGTAAATGCAGTAAAACAGCCAGATTTACCAGTGAAAGCATCCACACAGGCAGATTAGAAATAATGAATTCCTCTGGGGATAAACATCCAGTCGTAGGCAGCTTGTTTTTACCCAGAGAACAGAGCAGTCTGTTGCAGCTGAGAAAAAAACAAACAAAAAAAACCCAGCCAAACACATCTTGAACATTTAACCCAACCAAGGTCGAGAAATATTTCCTCTTTTCCATTAATTAGTAAGCTCACAAAAGCAGAACTGGGCTCGACACTTGAGGTTTATTCACACTGTGTAGTTTGTTGGCTGATAGGTTTATGGCTAAGCTAACGTTTTATCCAAACCAACGGTCAGTGCATCAACTTTGTTTCTCAATCACCGCTTTTCACTTAGTGGGATTTTGCTAGTAAATTATATTATCAGTTCGGGCAAAGTTGCTCTTGAAAAAAAACAAAAGTCAAAATTCTTGTCATTCACTCACCCTTCGGCGTCTTCACGAGTGTCCGACTCGCTAAAACTGTAACTGACGTTTGGTCTCCGTGGGGGAAATTAGCGGCCACGACAGCGACGCCGAATAGCGGATAACATTTTCACTCACGGCTGAAAAGCAGCAGCAGCAGCAGCAGCAGCAGCACGCAGAGTCAAGTTAACGAGGAGAAACAGAGCCGCTTCTGGAGCTGCCGGCCCGCATAAAAACTCACAGGGAAGTTTAATATTTGACACGTTTTACGTTGAAGACGAGGAACTTCGCCTCTCTGGGTGTTTTCCTCGTTGACTATGTGTAACTTGACGACGAAAAAAAAAAAAAAGCAAAAACTTCCGTAAAACCGTCATGTGACCGCTGAGAGCCACCGGACAGCCCAGTGTGTTCTCATGCTAATGCCCTTTAACCAGTCATCCCCCCACTCACTTCCCACCAGCAGCCAGCACAGCTCACACGAGGCTGTCTTGGCTAGCAGTATGTATGTATACCTATTAGTTTTTCCTTTGTTTGTTTTTTAGGACAGTTTGTTTAAAGTCTGTCTGCTGCTGTGGAGGACTTTGGTTTTGTTGTGTCTGAAGGTGCTATATAAATAAACTGACTTGACATTTATTTTCAAGTAGATTTTCACATACGAGTATTGACTTAACGTGGTGTTTTAGTGCATAACACTAACAACAACACACTTCAAACTCCTCATATATACATGAAGATATCGTTTGTAAAAAAAAAAAAAAATAGATAACTCCATTTTTGTAGATTTTCACAAAACTTTTTTTTGTTGTTTGCTTGAGATAATATCAGTCAGACTGAAGCTGAGTGGATTTGACTCAGTAGAAATGTACATACAAACATATTAATTACTTAAGTTTGATTGATATTATCTCAGGTGATGGAAAAGTGGATTTTCTGAAGTTTTGTGAAGATGCAGTTATCTGTTTTTGAAAATGAACTATATATATATATATATATATCTCTCCTCTGGGGCTACCTGGTTGATCCTGCCAGTAGCATATGCTTGTCTCAAAGATGAAGTATACAAGTCTAAGTACTATGCTTGTCCTGTGGACGCTTCCTGAGAAACAAAGACCTCTACAATGTCAATGGCTCTGTGTACTGTAAAGAGGATTACCTGTACTTAAGCGTATAAGATTTTATTAATAAATTAATAAAACACTTCCTCTGTTTTCTATCTGCCTATGAGTGACTGATATCTATGTCTATATCTATTTATATAGATAGAGACATATATCTATATATATATGCAGATGCATGTAATATATTTAATATTAATATTATTCTTGTAAGTTACTTTGTACAACAAGTACAAAATCACACCCCTGCAGTTAACCCTAATCAGGACTTTCATGTTGCCATGCGTTGGTCTTTCAGGGTCCCTAAGAGAGAATATGTGCAAAATATTTGTTGGTATTCTTTATAGACTTTTATACTAT